CCCCAAAACCCCAAAACCCCAAAACCCCACTAGACTTTAATTAAGATTAGAATTAATTTAAAATTGGAATTATATAAATAAAATGAAAAAAGGAGAGAGTAGATTTTTCTTAAACTGGATGATGCCCAAAGATTTCGCCATTGAGCTTCACCATTGCAGAGAAGATTCTCAGAGAAGTGAGCTTTTGTTGACTTGGTTTACAAATTTGTTGAATTTAAAAGACGAATAAGAGCAAAATATAATTTCTTAATACTTTGAGAATATCTATGACTTCACAAAGAAGTAACAGTTTTCAGACACTAAAATGGCTTGTATTCTTGAAATCATGCTGTATCTAATTAGACAGCTTTTAGAAGACACCATTAGTGAAGAGTAAAGCTTTAAAAATTTCAAGGAACTTCTTCTCAGACACAGTGTCTAGCGACCACCTCACTCTCTGGCAATTTTCAATTTAGACGATGTAAAGTTAATTAATGAGCATGTTTAGGAGACTTACTACAGGTATTATAACTACTACCTATACGCTTTAACTAGCAGACAAATCTTGTAACTTAGAACTGAGCCACTAATACAAGTTGAAGATCCAGTGCTAGATAGACTAGAGCATGCAAAACTCATTCCAGCAAGAGAAATAGACGACTTAAGGCAGTTCTTCTCATATGATGAATTGATGCAGATTGAAAAGGAGAATGAATACATGCTTAGAGGTCCTGGCAGAATAGAAAGAATAATGAGAGAAGAGATGGATAAACTTGCATCTCATATGGAAGATAGAATCAGGAAATAAGATGAAGAATTCTTGCAGAAAGTCAACCCAACTAAGAAATGATGATAATGCTTTTTAATAAATATTGAAATTTTAGTAAATTCTTAATTTAAGAAAATTATCTAATCTATCTTTGTTTCAAAACATTTTATTTCCAAAAGGGTTAGGAGTAGATTATCTTCCCTTGGCAAAAAGTTAAATGATGAAGTAAACCTAAGCTCCACAGATAAGAGCCACAAGTATCATTTTGAATATCGACATGAACTAATACTCACTAGTTGATGATTCAGTCACTATACTTATAATTAGGAAGTTAATATAAATTACAGTCTTGATGCTGCTTGTCCATATCTTGTTGCAACTAAATATTCCTTGAGACATTATGAATCAGTCCCTCAATCTTCATCATATCAAAATGAATGGAACCTAGATCTTAAATGGTAGCCTACTCCTCTTGATTGTAGTCCATGGCCGCTAAGAAGAAATTAATTCTTTTGTGTTTATTGTCTTTTCTTTGCCAACATGCTTAGCCAAAGTTGCCTCGCTTGGCTGACACGAAAATCTGATTATATGATTTGCCTTCTTCATTATATATCCTTTCGTTATTGTTTTCTATCTATGAAATTTAAAATCATTTAAGTGGATGTATTTACATAGAAGGCTACTTAGTCTTAACCTAACCCAGTTACTTGATATGATGCTTTAATATCTTAATATCTTGCTACAGGGAACTTAAAACAAACTGGGTCATTAGTAAGAAGGTCGAATTCAAGGGCATTTGATAACGAGAATATCGAACTGAAAACACAAATTGATACCAGAAGTTGCTTGGTATTTTTAATGTTTCGTGTTTTTTCCATTAAACTATATTACTAAATTATTAAATTTGCTTTACTTATTAATTTGAGTTGATCTATAAATTAGGGGTTTTGGGGTTTTGGGGTTTTGGGG